CCGGGTAAAATGTGGTCGGCGAGGTAAGCCAAAAGTGGTGCATGCCAGCAGGCTTTGGCGTTATCATGGTCCAGAACATTTCAGTTGGGACGAAGTGAACAAAGGAACAAATGATGCTGCTGAAGAGGTGTCACCTGAAAAAGCCAATGTCGAAGAAGAAACTCTACTCAGTTTTGAGAAGGGAAACGATGAAGCTCTTGATGAAGTTACTACCACTGATGTGACTGTTACCTACGAAAGGACATTTACTGATGAAGCAGATGAACCCCACATGAAGCAGAAGCCAACGAGACGGAGACCAGTACGGAAGAAGATACGTCCCGTAAAATTAAGAGACTTTGTTGAATTGTAATTTTGTGATTGTAATTCTGTACATTTGATTAAGTTATTGTTAATTGTTATTGGTTTAATGTAAGTGGCTATTGTTCGGGACGAACAATACTAAGGAGGGGCAGTGTTGCGTCAGCGAGGTCACGTGACTAGCGTCACGCCACCTCTCGAACCTTCGGGAATAGTCGGGAGATTACTAGATATAGGGTAGGCTGGTATATATATAAGAGGGTGACAACGTGACAATAATATGTGTGTAGGTAGTGAGTAATTGAACTGCAGTCAGGAAGTATTGTTGAAGTTAACGTTCGTTGTTAAAACGTTTGTTACAGAGCGACTGTTGAAAATAAGTGTATCGGTAAAGTTATATTCAGAAAGAATAAACCAGTTTTATTAAGTAAGGACTTGTGTCGCTAAAATTTCGTCGGAACGAAGTTACGGAAAGTTAATTAACAAACGGAGACGTAACAGCTGGATGCCACGTGCTATCTTCCCTGCAAGAAAGTTGGAGAATTGCCACTAAAATTGTACTAAAATGTTCTAGTTTAGCAGAGAGATTTGGATTATTGGGGAGCTAGCTGGTGTATTTTAATAATAAAAAAGGAAGGTTACATTTTTTAAGTGAGGAGTTATAATTATAAGATAAAAACAAAATACTCGAAATACAAAAATAAATATATAATAAAAGAAATATAGTCGCAAGTGTACGCATAATGAGTTCAATATACAGAATGCTAAATATAACTAAGAGTAAGATGCATTCTTAGAGTCCAATTTCAAGACTTAAATCTTAAGAAATATTAAATTGTTGGTTATAAAGTAATGAGTTAATATTGGAGAGGACTAAATAAAAAGAGCTATAATAAAGATTCCAAGTTTGAAGGTGTTATTTTACAGGTTAGGTTGAAATCTGTTCACATGTATTGGCTGGAGACGAAAAATCGCTTGGGGTGGGGACGTGATAGAGATTTATAATTCATAAAACCTGATAAATTTTTCATTGAAAAAGTTCTCCGGGCAGTTAAGACTGCAGGACGTAAGTCCAAGAAATGAATATGAATACAATTAAAGCAGTGTTACATTTATAATAAGATGTTCGGCTTATCAGATTTAAGATGTGTTAGAACGACATTGAAGAAATTCAAGATGAGAATGGGTGAGTATGAGTATTTAACAGGTTGGATAGAATAAAAATGATTTTTCTTTGTAGTTTGGATAGAATGGTAGTGAAAGATGGTATAGCTTAGATAAGCCAAATGCATATCCTGTAATTTATTGGAAACGAAATGTAAAAAATGTAAATTGTTTCGAAATTATACAAAATTACTGGAAATAATACATATACACGAGACATCTATCCGATTTGATAGCAGTTATAGATTTAACCATGGCGATTGTTGGACTATTGGTTAGAAATTTAGCATGCGGTGCTCACAATCAAAGTAAGTAAAAATCTATAATTACAAATGTAGATATAATACATCAGTAAGTTCACACACACACATATCTATGTACGTATGAATACAGCGTATGATAATGAAATCTGTTTCACTTGCGTTGTGTTAATGCGTATTAAATTTAATATGCTGTTAATGTTATTAGTATTACTAATAGTAATATTACTACTACTACTACAAGCAATTATTAGTTGCAGTAGTATTATCACAGAAACTAGTGATATAGCCTATAGTAGTATAGGTGTATTGGAATGCTACTATGCTTTTACCAGTGCTGTTGGCTTTGGAGGGTGAAATACTGTTGCAAATAGTGTACAACATAGTTGACAAATATCTAGCTAGCTGTTCTCTTTTTTACAAATTTTATTCTACAGACTTTTTGACCAAAACCCATTAGGCAGCAAGCAAATTTATAATTTTTATTTAATTTTTGGTACAACAAATTTTTCCTACATTTAATTTTAAGTCTTTAGAACATTATTTTATTCTGAGATAAACTGTTCAGATGTATAAAAATATACAAAATAGACTTGAATCTTAAAAAAATTTAATATCTAATCAAGATGTCAAGGCAGGAAATTGTTGGTTATAAAGTAATAAGTAAGTATTAATATTTAAAATCTTTGATACTAACCTCTTCCCCTCCAAGTCAAAATTTAGAGACATTAAAAACCTAAGAATAAGATATATTTTGGTCTGGCCTAGTGTTACTTTCCTAATGATAAATACACTTCGGAATTTAATTCAATTCTGAGTCTCATGAGAATTGATCATGCAATGATGCATGTAGTAAGCCAAAGAGAAAACACCATTGCAGCAATGTGAATATAGCCTCGCCTAAAAACCACTAAAATTTAGACCTAATATGTGGTAGGTGATTAAAGAAACTATTCAGTAGTAATATAACTGGTTAAACTTAAAGAATTGAATATACGTTATGTTGATGATTAAAATGTTTCTATGATATTATGGATAATATCAGTTTATATTAATTTTTCTAATGCAGCTATGGCATTAAATGGATTTAATTTATGTGCTTTTTTAAACTAAGATTTTCTTATATTTAGTGTTTGTAAGTAAATGTATGGTTATGATTCTACTCACTCATATTTCTTTACTATGTTAAAAATTAGGTTAGTTATATTTAAAAATGTTATTTTAATAATTAACAATTACATTTTTCCAGTTCGTGTCCTTGGTTCTCGTTCATGTTATTCTGTCACTCGTAGTCACTTGATGATCAACAGAGATACCAAAGTAATATGCCAAGGAATGACAGGAAAGCAGGTATAAATTAAATGTGTTAAAAGTTTGCACTTTTTTAATGGTATCTTTAATTGTGTTGCTATTTCTAGTAGCACCTTTGAAATTAGAAAGAAAAAGGAACATACTACATCAAATTATTAAATAGCATCTCTGTAAATTGTATCTTTACATGCTTTAGATGTGTGTGTAATATTATTTTGGTATAAGTGCAAATTGGCATTTAATAAATATGGGCCTTAAGGATTTAATGAAACAAAAACAATCTGTAGAAATCAATTCAGCAGTCATCTTGAACATTTAGATTTGAAAGTCATTCTGTATCTGTGCTTTTAAATATTTTAAACAAAAAGCTGAAATTGATATGAAAGCTTTTAGAAACTATACAAACTTTTGCCCACCTTCAGTAAACATTATACATCCTCAACCTGCCCTTTTGTCATGAAATTCCCCAGTTCTGTATTTGATTCAAGCTAGAAGTCTATTTTAATAATAATGTAATAACATATACCACAAAGTAAGTTTCTACAAGATGCAGTTACTTATAGAAAATGGTTATATTTGTTAAAGTATTTAGATTTATTTATGACTTGTAGTTTAACCAGTGATGTAACTACAAAATAGCATAAAAAGTAATTGGGCCATCTACATTTATTTCTCCTTGTTGGCAATTTTTAAGTTTGTCAGGCCCTTTGGACTCCCCTTTTAGCTCACCCCCCCTTTCCCCTGCAGGGGCTCTGGGAGCATACTTAAGCCACTGATTTTAACCAGAACTGATAATAGCTTAACTGAAAGTTCAGATGCAGTATATGACATGGAAAGATGTTTTTATACTTTTTCACAAAATATTAATGTGTGGAGGTGTTTTTACACATATATATGTAGATTGTTAGTGCAAATTGCAGTGTTTAGCATGTTCTCTACACTCTTTTGATTAATATTCTAAATTTAAGTAATTATGTTGGAAATTAGTTATTGTTTTTAAATATTGAAATGTTTTAGGTTAAAATGACATACCAACACTTTGCATGCAGAAGAAAAGTATAGACTGTAGAGCAGGGTGACTTTATAAACTTAATTGATTTCCTGTGAGCAGCAGTTACATAGATTAATGTTGTGTTAGCTAATTGATTAATCAAATTATGATAAATTATGATCATTTGATGTCAAGAAAATAATCAACTAACTGAAATTAGTGTTACTGATTATTCAATCAATTAATCAAAATTACATTAAATTAAATCAATTGTCACAAAAATAATCAACTAATCAAAATTTCCATTTTCTATTATTCCACTTATCCAAGTAATCAAAATATTGCCATTATGTTTGTTTGTTTTATTGTTAACCACAATGCTACATAAGTGGAAGTGGTGGTGGTGGGGTTTGGTTTGAAGATTTCACTTTCAACTCCCTTTGCCTATAAATTTGCTTACCTTGTCTTTGTTGTTGCAAAGCTACTAAGGCTATTTGCTATTGTCCATAATTCTGAACTGCTTACTAGAGGAAAGGCAAGTGGCTGGTAACACCAACTCTGGCTACGTAAATGTTAAATAAATTTACTGTTCTTAATACTTTATGTTTCTAATTTATACTTGCATAATTGTATTAGCAAGCACAGAACTAGAGGAGGGAGTCCAGAAGTTCTGGAATCTTCATCCATTTTTATTTTATTTTTCACAAGTTAATAACTATTTTTCAATGTTGTATAAGCAGGGAAGGGCTCTAGACAGATAGATCCCCCACCCATTATTTTTGTTTCAGAAATTAAAAACTGCATTACTTAATGTTGTATAAGTGGGCACAGATCTTGGGTGGGTCCAACCTTCTCTTCATTTTTTTTCAGAGATGAATTAAAAAACAGCCAGACATCCTTCTGTTAACTTATGGTATCAAAAGGTAATATTAGATGTAAATGTTTTTATTTTACTGAGCAATAATTACCATAAAAGGCTTTTGATGTTTTCTGAATACAACATAACTGGAGTCTACAGCAGTCCAGTTAAGGAATCAGACAATAACTGATTATGTCTAAGCTAATACAACAATATGAACATACATTAAATGTTGCTATGGCCAAATTTCAGCACTCTGGTGTTTTTAGACACTAACAATGTGTTTAGACTGTAGAGATCTGTTTTCATCAAATGTAATATTGTTAGGACACCTGCAGCTCTTATAAAATAGACTTGTTACAGAATTGTATTTTCATTGTTTACAAGTTACAATTCTAATGAGAAAGATATTTTTATACTGTTGATGCCTAAAATAAGAGGAAATATAAAAGTAACCATTTTAAAAAACAATGAAAACAAACATCCTCTTTACTAGTGCTAGGATTTTTTTTTCTAAAAATGTTTTTAAGTATAAATATTTAATTCAATTAGAAAAAAAATAATGTTTGGCTTAACTGTTTTTATTTTTATATCATTCAAGTTACTAGAAATAAAGATATAAGATTTATAGTGGAAGTCTCTTCTTTCAAGTAAAAATAGTGATTATTTGGTTACAGTATTACAATTTATACAGCTAGCTTTCAAAAAGTTAACTAGTGTCAAACCATCATTGTAAAAATGAAACATTTTTGCAAATAGTTTTAATACAGCAGTAATACTATATTATCTAAACAGACTTTCTAGTTTTATTCTTATTCATTCATTAATGGTTTTTATACTTGATAAGATGAAGTTATAATTGTCAAAAGTTTTATTTTTCAAAATAAATTGATAAATAAAGTGATTGATAAGTGGATAAATTTTGTTCTTTTATTTTTTCTAAGTGTTATAAACAATTCAGTTACTTTAATCACTAACAATAAAAGGCTTATTCCCTTTGTCACTTTATTGAGAATGCTTTTACACTCAATGTTTGGTAATGCTCAATAATATAATTGTTGCTTAGCAACAAAAGTACCACCTGATTGTTCTCAGGCCAACTATGGTATTTATATTGAATGCTCAATATTCATGTTGATTTGTTAGAAATGATTTGTTTTTTATTCTTTATTTTTTTGATAACTTTGGTGATGTAGAAGCAAAATAGTTTGATTCAGAAGTTTTTTGATATTGAGTTGATATTTTTTGATAACTTTGGTGATGTAGAAGCAAAATAGTTTGATTCAGAAGTTTTTTGATATTGAGTTGTAGCCAAAAGCAAAATATAATTTACTAAGTATAGTTTTTTTACCTAAATCTTATGTTACATTTGTGTATTAGGCCTAATGCTTAAATTAGACTACAAATAGGCCTACTATTACAAACTTTATAGTCAGTGTTTAAAACATTTTAAATGGTGAATAAATGTTAAATAGTAAATATTCTTTTGGTATTTTAACACATATATTACCTACATGGCCTTAAAATGTAGAGAAAAATAAATGTTTATAAAAAAAATTATTACTACCAAATATCTTTTGTCCTTTGTACAGAGTTGAAAATCTGAATCGGTGTTTAAAAGTTTTGAGTGGTGACTAAATGTTAATTAATAAATATCCTTTTGGTATTTTAAAACATAGAGAAAAATGAACATTTATTACTACCAAATATCATTTATCCTTTGTACAGTTAAAAAAAAGAAAAAAATTTAAAATTTGTCAGAATTTCCATACTATGTTTTCTATTTCCTGACCTAGGATAAAATGAAAAGACTCAAGAGTGCTATTTAAGTCTCTTTCAGAGTGCACACTACTTTTGTTCACAATAACATTTCATTTTTCTGCATAGTTTTCACTAAAAATTTGGTGATTAAAGAATTACTTAGAGACTTATGAAATAAGTGAAGAGTAGGTGCATTTTGGAGATACAGACAAATTTGTTTTAGATAAATTCTGTGATTTTTGTTAATAATACAACAATGGTTCCCATCATTTTTTACGGGCTTTTATACTAGTACTAGTAATAAAAGACCCAAAAACATGATATTTATTTATTTTTAAGTGGCCACTCAGTGTTTTGCTTTACAGCTTCTTCAGGATCATTTCACTAATAAACAAACCTGAAAAAGCTGTAAAGCAAAATGTTGAGTGGCCAGTTAACCCTTTTGCCCCGGGTAGATTAAAGTGCACGTGTCACGATGTTTTGGAGCGTTATTTTCAAAATTGTATTAAATAACATTTTTACTACTTACATCAATGAAATTGACATCAAAACATAGTATATAATTTAAATTTTGATATTATATATGTTTTAATTTCTTAATTTAAAAGGAAATGTAAAGAAAAAAATGTGAAATATCTATTTTGTTTGTCACATAACACGTCCAGTTGTCTTATTGTTCAGTTGCCATTTTATATTGCCCACCATACAACATGTATAAGTAGCTAACAAATTAGAAACTCAAATTTGAAATATAGACAAGCTAAATATAAAATAAGAACCTCCCTCCTCTATGATTTGCTGAGATAGTAATATTTTTAGCGAGTCTACTAGAGTGGCTCCTCCCACTGCACCAATCTTTTGAAAGCTCTTATCTAGTCCCACCTACTACTAATTAGCTACTGCTTATAATCAATAGAAAGAACATTTTCACCCCTGCATAACTCTGACAGTTGTTTATAAATAACTTGAAGGAGAAAATAATAATTTTGCCAAAACCATTGAAGTGTGATGATTTAGTCGTAGCTCTGAACAGGAATGGGATTTTTTTAACCCACATACAGTTTATTTAGATGCTCGACTAAATTACAAGGATTTTGAGTATACTAGTTCAGTAATTTTATAACTTTTGGCATTCAAAAATTCATATTTGAAGCCTAAAAAATTAGTATCTCTACCCCTCCCCCCAGAAGAATAAACGAGGCTTATGTCAAGGCTTAGCAAGTTCAATGCACAAGCGCAACATTTTGTATCACGGTTACATACTCAAAATACTTATTTGTCAGTGTATTTCGCATTTACTTTCTATGTTTTAAGAAATGTGACTAAAATTTAAGCATTTATGAGTAAATAGTAATATGTATATTTATATACTTATGTGTCAGTGTATTTCGCATTTACTTTCTATGTTTTAAGAATTGTGACTAAAAT